CCTTAAACCGTAGAGAATTTTATAGATAAAAAACAACGTTAGAAACTAAGGCACAAGAGTTAGAAACTAAAGCACAAGACTCACGACACAATTGTTTGGTAATTAGCGGTTAACTTTAGTAGATAGCGGGTTTGATAATTAGCAATCAGCTTTAGCGGATAAACAAATTGTAATAGTTGTTTTGACCAGTATTTGCAGTTTTGATCGGCTAATACTGTTAGTAGTTCTAAAAAATATGTTTGGTTAGATAGCTGATTGATTTGTAAAAATGTATTTAGTATTATTAACTTACTTATTTTGTTATATATATAAATATTTAAAAAGTAATAAATACCAATTGTATTGATGTATTTTTTGTATCAGCAAAAGTTAAATTGATTCTTAAATTAAATTAAGGGTATGTTTGCATACAATAATTTTTCAAAAAAATCCAACATTTTAACTCAATCATTTTTTTTAACTTAACCTCACTATCATCAATACTAGTACAGATCCCGTGCGATGCACGGGGTGCACAAAATTAAGACTATTTATCAAGTCTTATAATTATATAAATGAATAAAAAAAAAATATACGAGATATATATAGTACGTGACCTATAATAGGCCAAAATGTGAACACGGGTGATGCACGGGGTGCACAATTTTAAGGTCATTTATTAATACAGGATCCGTGCGATGCACGGGGTGCACAATTTTCTACTATGTGTAATACAAATACATACCGTATGCACGGGACAGAAGCACTAAATGAGTTATTTCCACATAGCTTGCCCGTTAAGTAGCTCCTGAACACGGGTGCACAATTTGTAGTACGTACTATAAAATCAAAACAGATTTCCATACATTTAGATAATAAATTAGATAATAAATAAAGCCTTTTTTATGTTAGTAAAGATTTTACGTACTTTTTTTTACTTATCGGAACAGATTTCTATAAAATTAGATAATAAGAAGGAATTACATAAGGAAAAGAAGAAATTAGATAAAGAATTTTGAATCTACCTTTTTTTAGTATAGATAGACTTTACGTATAAATTTTGCCTTCACCAATTTTATGAGATTTGTTTTGACAAAATCAAAGATGAATACTGAAGACTGTTTTTATTAACATTATCAATGTGTATTTAATGTTTTTTTTTTGGCAACATATTCTTTTTAAATGTGATATATAAATATTAAAAATACTTAAAATACTTTTTAAGTGTGATATATAAATATTAAAAATACTTAAAATATTTTATAACATCTATAAAAGCATCTAAAATATTCTATATTATTCACAAATAATGTTTGAAACTACCTAATAATGTTCGGAGAGCTTCATTAATTTAAAAGTGTAAAATAAATAAATAAATAAATGTACAACTGAAAAAAGTAACAACCAATTGTATGGAGAATTAAACTAAATCTAATTTTGTAGGATACATTAAATATTGATTAAATTTTATATGTAAAATAAAATAAAAAAATAACTGGAATAGTTTTACGTGTTGCAATATTTATATTTAAAAAAATTAAAAAATCTTCTTTTACATATTGCATATCAACATTTTAGGAACTACATGGATATTCCTAAATTAATATTGCATATCCAATATTTTAGGAATTAATTAAATGCTAATTTGATTTGCATACCAAAAATATTAGATGCATTAATTAAATGATTGATAAAAATAGCAAATCATTAATTAAGGTTGACTATTCTACACATTACATTTAGTAAATAGTATAACTTTTAATATAAGTATAGATTATCAATATAATTAAATAATATTAATCAATCATTTATACACACCACATCAACCTTAATTCACTCAATCCGTCAAAAACTCTAACTTTCTTGCGTATAAGAGACATAAGGCCTAACCCGTCTAAAGCCCTAACTTTTGTGCGGAGAAGCGATATAAGCCTAATACGCCAAGCTCAAACTAAAATTTGCGAAAGAACGCATATAACCCGACTCACTAAAAAATTAAGAGACGGTGCAAGCCTAATTTACCTAAAATTTTAACTATAAGGAGAAATGGTGTAAAGCCAATCCACTTAACGTTTTGACTTCACTGAGAAACGACATGAGCCCAATTCTGCCTGTAGTTAACTTGACGAAGAGTATCGGCTGCACAACGCCTAATCCATCAGAAAACTTTAACTTTCTTGAATAGAAGCAACATAAGGCCAAACACGTCTAAAGCCCTAACTTTTGTGTGAAAAAACTGTTGTAGAAAAGTGTAAAGGGGCGGCACCCAACTTGTAGCCTCCCCACTTGTGCTATAAAAAAAAAATGGAAAAGCGGTGGAAAATTGGGGCTGATAGCCGCCCCACTTGGAGAGAAAAATATACATATATATGTTTTGAATGCCGATAAATAGGCATAACCAGAGAGGAGAAAAAACACGGAAGAAAGAATACAGAGAGAAAATAAAGGAAGAAAAATCTTTTCGAAATAATTTGGAGGAATAAAAATATCAGAGAAAAAATTATAGAAATATTTATTTCTTATCGAAATAACAAAAGAGTGATATTTTTATTTCTTTTTTTAAGTGCTCAATTCTCGACTCCGTTCCAGTTCGCCGGAGCTCGTAAATCTGGTGTGCTACAGATTTAGAGACGTTTGTCATTGTATCTTTGGGGAAGTTACGCCTGAACCGTTAGCTGCCACACGGGGCGTATTCATCTTGCGGAAAGAGTTTTACTCGCCTCGGCTAAAATCTTTCCGTTTTGTTTTTAAGTTTTAATATTATTTTCAGTTGTAATTTATTTTTTCAGTTCGATTGTAATTTTCTAATTTTAGATTATTTGTAAGAACCGAAAAATACATATCAGTTCATAGGATTCCCGTGTATTTTAATACCCGGTTTCTAACAATCGCAAGAAGAATATAGTCAACCTACTGAACTGATGGCTTCCACCGGAAATGGTTCCAACAATCAACATCCGGTCAGTCATGTACCTGTTGTCCATGTCCCTACTGCTGAGAAGCCCGAAAAATTCAACGGGCTTGATTTCAAGAGATGGCAACAAAAGATGCATTTTTGTCAGACCACTTTGAGTTTGGTAAAATACCTGAAGGACGAACCCTCGATCATTACTGAAAATGATACGAATGCTGAACTACGCACTGCGTACGAGGCTTGGGGGCAAGGTGATTGCCTTTGCCGTAACTATGTCCTGAACGGACTTAGTAATGAGTTGTATAATGTGTACAGCTCGGTTGGTTCTGCCAAAGAGCTTTGGGTTGCTTTGGAGAAGAAGTACAAGACTGAGGATGTCGGGGCGAAGAAATTCGTCGTCGGTAAATTTCTTGACTTCAAGATGGTCGACTCAAAGACTGTCGTGTCTCAAGTGCAAGAATTACAACTCATCTTGCACGATATCCATGCTGAGGGAATGTCTCTGAGCGAGTCATTCCAAGTTGCGGATGTGATTAAAAGCTGCTACCGGGTTGGAAAGACTTCAAGAACTACCTCAAACATAAGAGGAAGGAAATAAGTCTTGAAGACCTGGTTGTTCGTCTTCGTATTGAGGAGGACAACCGTAATTCATTGGCGAAGACTCCGATGATGGAGGCTCGTGCTAACTTGATGGAGCAAGGCAACTCGAGCAAGAGGAAGTTCATTGACAAGGGAAGCAGCCAGTCAAGGTTTGGAAGTTTACCGGTACCTGCTACAACTGTGGAAAGCCAAACCATATGGCGAAAGACTGCAAGAGGCCAAAGAAAGTTGGGCCAAAGAAAGGCAACCGAGTGCCCTTGGTGCTAAACACGACCCTGTGCTGGGTGAACTGACCGACTTTGATATGTCGGCTGTGGTGTTTGAAGCCAATATGGTGGATAACCCAAATGAGTGGTACATCGATACTAGTGCCACTCGTCATGTGTGTTCCGATAAGGAGGTGTTCTCTGGATACACTCTTGCTAAGAGTCGGAAACTTTACATGGCAAACTCCTCTACGGCTGATGTGGCTGGAGTGGGCACTGGGGTGTTGAAGCTGACTTCTGGAAAGGAGTTGAAGCTTAAGGATGTTCTGCATGTCCCAGACATCCGCAAGAATTTGGTCTCCGGATCTCTTCTTGTTGAGCATGGATTTAGGCTGGTATTTGATGATAAGAAGTTTGTTCTTAGCAAGTTTAAAACATTTCTTGGTCGTGACTATCTCGACAAGGGTATGTTCAAAATGAATGTAATGGCTGTGAGCCGTGTAACCGTTTCTAATAAGAATGAAAAGCCTATTTCTGTTTATATAGTTGAGTGCTGTGATTTATGACATGTTAGATTGGGACATGTAAATCTAAATGCGATTAAACGGTTGATGAATTTAAAATTAATTCTTAATTCTAAAATTGAATCACATAAGAAATGTGAAATATGTGTTGAAGCAAAAATGGCTAAGTTGCCTTTTCACTCGGTGGAAAGGAGTACCGAACCATTAGGCTTGATCCATACTGATGTTTGTGATATGAAAAGTGTGCAAACAAGAACTGGTAAAAAGTATTTAATTACTTTTATCGATGATTGCACAAGGTTTTGCTACTTATATTTGTTAAGAAGCAAAGACGAGGCTGTGGAAGCGTTTAAGATCTATAAGACCGAAGTTGAAAATCAACTCGGCAAAAAGATTAAAATAATTCGAAGTGATAGGGGTGGGGAATATGTAGCTCATTTTGAACAAATATGTTCTGAATATGGCATAATTCATCAAACAACGGCCCTTTATTCTCCACAGTCGAACGGTGTTGCTGAACGCAAGAACCGTA